AGGGCCGGAGGGGCTGAACAAAATTATCAACATAGTCACACAAAAAAACAAAAAGGTGGGCAAGTGGGTGTCGCTCTGCTGTACAGTAGGTTACAAGTGGCTCACTGTATAATGGTTGGTATTACATTTGAATTCAATGATATTATATCATTGTATAAGAAAAACGATTCTGAGCGGTGACGGTATGTCAGTCTATGTATAAGACATATTATATACAAATCTATGGTATTAAACAAAAAATTGACCTATTTTATAGGTACCTATAATAAATTCCAAACTAATCATATCACAATATCCATTAGATACTTATAACGCGTTATACATCAACAAAAACCGTGATACTATCATAGATATATAATAGTACACTTTAGAAGTTTCAAGTACCCACGAATAATATTATACAATCACAACAAAATAACTAAAATCGTAATTCTTGGTTTAAATATGAAATTTTGTCTAAATTTGAAATTAAAATGTCTGTAAAAAATAAGTGTGTTTATATATTTTTTAGATTTTTTGGTTACAGTATGAATTATTTAAGAGAATCTTTGTTTTAAATTTTCAACTCTTAGTTATAAAAACTGAACATTTTATAATTTTTTAATTCCAACGATTGATAATTTTTGAGATTTTGATAAATTTTGTCAAAATTCCAACTTTAAATGCTTTTAAAAAAAAATCGTGCCTATGTATTTTTAATATTTTTCAACTGATATTGTAACAATATATCAGGAGCCTTGTATTAAATTTTTACACTTTTTGGCCCAACAGATAAAACTTTATTGATATTTATAGAAAAAAAAACTAAAAAAAATTGAAAGCTGTAAATGTCCATAAACAGCTCAAAAGAGTCAAAATATTTTCAAAATTGTATGGTGTATAGGAAATGCTAATATAAACATTCAGTGAAATTTTCATGTATCTACAGTTATTCGTTTTTGAATTACAACAAAATAAGGAAATCGCTTTTTGAGAAATCGAGTGAATATCCAATGTTGTAGAAATTTGAATTTCAAACGCTCATAAAAATTTAATTTGACTTTCTTATAGACATTTTTGTTTTGATAAAGGTAGATAATCTTATAAGGAATCTAGTATTACATTTTCAAATCTTAGATTTAAAAAGAAAATTTTTCTTGAACTTTTAACTCAAAATAATTTGGAAATTTTCGTAATTTTTAAGTATTTTATCAATATTTGAACTTTAAATGCTTATAAAAAAAAACTATGACAAACGATTTTTAATATTTTTCATCTGCCTTTGAAACAATATACTAGTAGCCTTCTATTAATTTTTCAAGCTTTTTTAACCAACAAATAAAATTTTATTGATATTTTTAGAAAAAAAACTAAAAAAAATGGAAAATGAAAATGTCCGTAAAGAGCTCAAAATAAGTCAAAATATTTTTAAAAAGGCATGGTGTGTAGAAAATGCTAATATAAACAGTCTGTAAAAATGTCATGTATCTACGGTTATTTGTTTTAGAGTTACATCAAAAACCAAAATCGATTTTCTCGAAAACAGATTTTGTGTAAAAATTCCCGTTTTTCCTTAATTTTTCTTTTGTTTTTAACGTCGCTTTTGATATCTACTGAGACATTTTTACTTTTAACCCCCCAAAGTACCAACTAGATTCATTTTCCTACCAGAAAAGATACTGTTGAAGAAAATATAAGCATTTCTACTGGCCTAAAAAGTGATGGCAGACACAAAAAAAAAAAAATAAAAAAAATACATATCGTTGTAAAATCAATACTCTCATCGTACCACTCAGAATCTAAAAAACACATCATTGTAAAATCAATACTCTCATCGTTCCACTCAAAATCTAAAATGTGTGGTGTCATTAAAAATGTAAAATACTTAAAAAAAATATATTTTTTCAGAAATATTGTGTTGAAATTACATAGTGGAACCATTTAAAAACTCAGATCTTGAATAAGAGTCATCACGAGCTCCCCTAATGTAGAACACTAGGATGGTCACACTAGGTTTTCTCAAAACACTAAAAAATAGTTTTAGTTAGCCGTCCTAGCGTGGGTGGTGGGTCACTGTAATGAATGATGTCTTTAAATATTTTTATTAACCCTTTGAAGAATGGGGGTATTTATTTTATACCACTTTTAGAAAAAATTATCCTACTCTTGCACGGTGGTATAAATTTACTACCACTATAGTATTGTA